GACATACTGCGAAAGTGTTTTTAATGTCTAGCAGTACTTCAAGAAGATGAATGATATAGAATGACCGTTATTAAAGAAATTTCCTCCAAACTTTGAATAAAAAGGTCCTGGAGATCTTCCTCCCGCTTTGATATGACTGGATGACTTGAACTGATTTGAGTTCATGACCATAATTATAGTCATGATCCCTGCAAACGACAGGTCGTGTGAAGGGCGTGAATCAAGTGGCGCCCTTACCACTAGCGCCGTCGTGGGTTGAAATTCCGGGTCGCCCAGACCAACCAAACCTTCTAACCTCGGGAACGGCAAATCGGTACCGGAATAATTCGAGATCTGAACAGCCTTCTCCGCAAATTGCTGCGAACTCAGGATGGCACCATTGGTAGATGACTCCGCCTGGTAGCGCTCCAATTTACGCCGTGTTTCGCTCTACATTGGCGAAGATCGTGACTATGTCTTGCAAACATTTTGGTCCCAGCTATATCACGTTCACTGAATGTGTCGTACTGTTGGCGTTTCACTTGACTGTTGTTTCACCTGAGAGTAGGCACACTGCTTCGACAAATAATTAAATGAATAAGCACAGTTGGCCTCGGAGGGAAGGGTGCTCATTTTGCACTTTCTCTACTTCCCCTTGTCCTGTCGAGCCATGAAAAAGAGATATGTCAAATGAAGTCATAAGAAGTAATATTGCTAAACTTTGAATTTTCAAGGACTACTCATCAATTTTTGTAAAGAATGCCAGGCAACCATGCAATACACGACAGTGGGAAGCAGTGAAAACGCTTTCGCGGCGAAAAATTGTGAGGGGTGCTGCAGTGGAATATAGGTTCAGTGACGCCTCCTTTTCTCCAGTGACTCCGCCTCCAGACTCCGCCTTCAAGGCCCGCCTTTCAGTGAAAAACGAAGCTGCAGGACGAAAAAGCATGAAAATCGTCACTTGTACGGTCGTAGAGTTCTTATCGGGAATCAGCTGTGCGGATGAGGGCGTAGTGTTAGGAGATGGGGTTAATGGGCACGTACGAACTGGGATCGAAATGGGGTTCTATCTAGGGCAATTGGCAGGATTGTTTTTCCTGCTTTTTCCTTCACTATCGAGTTACTCAGCACCTTGTCGTCTATATGCAAACCCCTAACCCACTATCTGTGATGCCGAGTGGGTTTTGCCTTTAAACGTAGAGAGATTTCTTCGCCCGCTGTACTCAAGAGCACGGGACCTCAGTCGTAGTAAGTCATAGTATGATAGCTCATTAGGTTTTTCATATTAGCAACAATCGAAGGACTTGCCTCGAAATCGCACAGGGTTACTCGTGGAAACATTCCGGTTTGTTCCCATTCAATCTCGTGCATAAGATCTTTTAACAATGAAAAGCCATATGCTAAATCATTGGAGCCGAGTAGATGATTTAACAGAAAAAATTGTAGCAGTACATTGGCCGAGTAAAGAATCTGAAATCAATACACCATCAATTGATCTGCAGCGTACATTTTACCTATATTTATGCAATTTGTATCTCGACCTTATTTTTACATTTGTTCTTTACATCGTTATTACATTTTATACAGCTGCGCACGATGGTATACTAACGTCCATATTGATGACGTCCCAGTATGTCGGAGGGGTAGCTGGTGTACAATTGGAACGATGAGGGGCAAAACGTTTTCCTGAGCATATTTCCGATCTGGGACAACAGTACTCTATCTTCATTCGCATAAACATGATTACAGTCTCTGGAATGGGCATATCCGCCACGGAAAACATCCATAGATCCTACAGTCATTCACCACTGGCTGCAGCCGGCTGGCCACAGCCTTAGATAGAGTTACACACCCACGGCTCTGCCCCGCATCGTCGCACTGGAAACTATTCGTCCACGGCGCGTCGCAAAAAACTCCCAGCTAACATCTGTTTGCAATAAACTGCTCAAGGGTAGTTGAACCATGAGCGAGAATATGACCTATTATCCACCGATGCCGTACCGCGTGAATTTAAAAATGGCCGCTAAGGGGAGGGGGTTACTCTTAAAAGGTTTCTGCTCGAGACAACTGCCCCTTTATTGTTGGACAGACATGATTGGAACTGTCTCGAAATAAAAATAACTCAGGAAAAGCTTAGACGCGCTCACGTTCAATCGAAGTACGCAGCCACGCCTACCGCATTTCAGGGATATTGAGTATACCTTCGCTTGACGCGAAAACGCCTGGAACGTGAGCTACGGAGGCGGGGGCCAAAACTTGCCTGTAGCAGGGGCACCTGTAGCGTAGGCGTGTGACGCTCTCTCGGCAAGTGGGTGTCTAGTCGAGTTCAAGGGGTAAGGGATCTTCAGCGACAAAACTCTTGGTGAATCTACTCCTTGGGAAAAATTTCCATCAGAATTTGGCTAGAATTTCGGCAAGTGCGACAGTAGAAAAGTGATTGTGCTCTTCCTTTCTTGGCTACTAATGTAACCTATTCTTTCTAGGAGAGAACCTAATGACGACTCCGGTCGTTGTGTTGTCCCTTTAATCTATAATTATGAGCTGTATGAACTATGAAATTTCAAATTTTTTTATTGCAAATTTAACAGTTACAACAGGTAACCGTTGGAAGGAGTGCGTGACCACTGTTTGTAAAAGACTTACTTTGATACCAATGTAAAGCATAGTTACATAACAACCGCAATGCCTCCCACAGTTAGCTCCTATTTGCATATGTGAGAAACACGTCCGTGAATGGGCGGACCGATCGACATTCGTCAACTGTAAAATTGTCAAGATGAAAGCTATAATATCGTTGGAAAGCTATCAAAGGGGCTGCAGTGATTACTACAAAACGCTACTAGTACGCTGGGAATAGTACCTGCACTTCATCTTGCATATGACGTGCCATTGTGTAGACAGTTCTCGATTTTACTTCGGAATCCATCAAACGTGCATCACATGCCATTTGAACGAGGCCTTGTAGGTTTATGCCTTCAATAGTTCTCTTTTACCAGTAAGTGAATCGAATGTGCAGAAAATAAGATGAGAGTTCATTCTCACTACAGATAAGCGTTCTGGAACTTTTTTCCCCAGTATCACATAAATGGCGTTTCTTGCGAGGTAAAAACTGAACCTTGGCTCAGGATACTTTCACGTCTAACCCTTTTCTTACACCCGAAGGCAATAGGCTGTAGCGGTCCCAAGCTCTAACCACTCCAAATTCTGCAGAACTCATAATAAAACTCCAGAAATGAGGGATATCTCGGTGCTGGTCTATCGCTTCAGGGCACGCGCCATGCATTTCACTTCCATTCAGAGCCAATATGACCTTAAATGCTATTTGACCGATACTAGGTTCGCAGAACCTAGTTTATGTGCAAGTCGGCATTTTTACATTTCCAAATAAGCTTGTGCCAACGAACAACCTCGGTGGAAGTACTGGCGCCCGTTCCAGGACACGGGCGCCAACCACTTTCGTGTGATACTTGTGTACGGATGTCGAACTATCGTCTGGTGTAAGACTGGTCGAATCCGTCCACGGGGAAAAATTTCAGTCCGGAGATCTGGGCTGACTTTTTGAACGTGGAACAGAGTTCGGCGCAGTTTGGCTTAGTGAGGGCATCAAATGGTACTCAGCCAAGTTTGTATGTACAGGTCACCTTAAAAAGACCCCTACGTTCCTGTAACCAATGTGGCTTACTTGCACCATTTCGCAGCTTCATATGAGTCACAACAGCTGCACAAGGGCTGCTTGTCAATTAGCGTGAACTAGCAAAAAGAACTTGCGGAAGTGCAGAATGCCCTCCAAGCCGAACAACCCAACACCTCCGACGGATTGACGTTTCAACTATGTCTTATACTTGCAAAGTGCTTACTCTTGCCCCTCCCGTCCCTTCTACACACATTTGAAGGCAACTCATTGTATGGAAAAGGGTGTTGTCCCATATGAACCCTGATTTCCATGCTAACGATTACCGAAAGCGTTACACTACAGCTGACTGTACATTTGATAACGCCACAATCAGTCGGGGAGGTA